ATGATATGAGTATTGATGGGTACGTAAACATTATCAAAAAATAATGTTTGTAGTCGACAATCAGATTGAAATAGATTTAAACATAATTCATTTGATACAGTTTCATTAATTTCTGCTATATCAAAATAAATTTTTAAATTTAGTAATTGTTTAAATAATTTTAAATATGATAAATATTTACCATCCTTTTCAACTTTCGTTATAAAAACTGATTCAAGATTTGGGTATATTTTTGAATACAACCATAATGGAAAAACAGAATCAAGATTTTTATCATCAATTTTAATTGCTTTGATATAATGATGAATTTTTGGTAAAATTATTCGACAATACTTGTTTAAGGTACAGTCATCGACATTGGATAAATCTATTGCGCATAAAAATGGATAAATAAGGTTATTAAAACGATGATTTAAATTGAAAAATGAATAAATAATATCAATAGATTTTAAATAAAGAAAAATAAAGTCAAACAATTCGTATGGTAGACTTGATTCTAATGTTGATATTTCCTAGAACAAGAATATTATTATATGCTAGATTAAAAGTAATCTCTTCAAAAAATCAGGAAAACGACGTAGATCATCTAGATAAACAACTCACAACAACTGTAAACGAATCTACTTCAAACCTATTTTTGTTGCAGTTGTTAGACGCCTCTTATATTTGATAAAATAAACTGATCTTTTAACCTTGTTTTCAGAAATAGAATATTCAGAAAAAAGTGATCAGTCCAGACAAATAGAATCGATAAGTCTTTATCAAAAGGCATTTTTTACACCGTTAGAATAATTGAATCATTTAGATGCGAGTATTGATGTCCGCTTTGTACATTTTGAAAAGGTACATTTGACCCTCGATACTTTTTTTGAGTATTTAATCCGGTAGAGCTGTAGCAAATAAGTAATGTTAGACTACATTCACATCGTACGTCTTTGTTTCTGTGCTTTATAGACAGAAGCCAGAAAAATGGAAAAATTATACGATGGAAAATAACATTTTCGTTCTCGTATCCAGTATTTACAATTTCTTACATTTTACATTCTTTCTCAGCTGACCAGAAGAAAAAGAGAACGTAAAAAAAAAGACGTCTCTATTTTTCTCTTCCCGTTCTATCTATATATATCTTTTTTTAACTGCAATCTTTGTTTAAAACTCTGCAAACTGTTACAATTCATGAAACTAGAAAACAAAACTACTTTCATTTACAACGTGGAATAATTGATTACACAATACTGTTACATAAGTATGAAAAGAAAAACACCTCCTAATTAACACAATAAAACATTATTACTGAGGATTATCTGATTAATTGAATCAGGATATTCAGCTCGGACTCAGTGAGAAGAAAAAGACAATAACAAATATTTTTGTGAAAAATAATTTTCAGTTTTTTCAGGGCTGACTCAAACTCTGATTCAGAGCTGAAAAAACTGGAACGCTGATTCAGCTATTAAGACCTAGCTGATTTTCGACTAGTGTGTAAAGTGTAAGAAATTGTAAATACATTTTCTTACATTTTCCATCTTTGTTAGATGTCTAATTTACTACCTGACTCTCTATATTCATACTGATTTTTCGTTTTCGGACGGAGATTATGAGAAGACAAAAGCATTGTCTGCTCGACGAACGCATTAAAATTTGATTGCACTATGTTCTCGAAGAAAAGTCCGAGTAAAACATAGTGAAATCAATCATAGATAACAAAACGGTGACTCGAAATAATGTGGTACTAGTGCGTACCGGTGCCAGCCAGTGTCAGTGCAACATACCATGCCGTGCATACTGGCTTTTTTTCAGTACTGTTCCAAGACGATATGAACCCTGCACGCACACGACAAGAAACTGACAGATAAGAGTGACACACGACATTTTGAAATAATCTTATCGGACTTTTATCAGTTATTTATCTGAAGCTTATACCATGCTTATAAGAGTCTTATCAAAAATTATCAAAATTTTTCGTCTAAGGCATTAACAGCCATTTAGAAGATGCTATTTAACGTGTTCAGATCAGGTTTAGACACATCACAACACACCCTGGAATGCTTCCTTTACGAATATTTTAAGAT